AACTCCAAGCTCTTTACCATACACTGTGGCATCACAATGTGAAGTCACAGCAAACTAGTTGTGGGAGAACTTGCCTTGTTTACCCAAAATATCCAAAACCATGATCTCTCCAACAAGACCTCACAAAAACAGGGAGAAAACCATGAGAAACCACACAATATCCACACGGTCACTCTATCCAAGGAATCCGAACAAAGGAAGTACTAGTAGGAACCAAATGTGTGAACTCTAAATCATGCTGGGGAAACAATTCTGGTTTTCATGGCACATTGTGCAGCGCAAGTGTCTCCAAAGGAAGTCGTCACTTCATCATACACCAAACTCACCAAAGGGAGTCATCTAAAAGCATGAGTCTTTCTGAAAAGCTGCAATGAACCCCCTGGCAGTAGCAGGGACAGCCGACACACATCCAAGTGTTCGCAGATTCACATCGTTAAGAGCAAACAAGCAACCACATCGTTATACCAAAAGCATCCAAAAGCACCCAAAAGCTTGAGAACAAAATAGGTGCTACAGCCGCTACATGCTGTTTCTTGACACAACTCGGTACAGCCAGCTACAGCCCGGCTCAATGCAACACCCCTTTGTGATACCACAATCAAAAAGTAGATCGGGCGGTACCACCAGTTGCCGTTTGGTCCTTCCCACAACCTCTGGACGAACCGCTAGAAAATCACGAATCTCGGCAAAACGCCTCCGGGTCTTTCTTCTCTGCGGTCTCCATTTGGACTTCCGGCGTTTTCTCTGACGCTGCCTGGAGAATTGGCAACACAAATGTCAAAAACGGCACCTGGACCAGGAAACACCTGCTCTGCCCCCAGGTTCTTATGTGATCTTTTGGGAGACAAAGCCGCCAAACTTCAAGCGCATTACCATACACCATGGAATGCAAACCAGTTGTGAGAGGGCAGGCCTTGCCTAGTAAAAATATCCCCAAACATGTTCTCACCAAATAGGGAGAAACTGGGAGAAACCATGAGAAACCACACAATATCCACGCAGTCACTTTATCCAAGGAAGCCAAACGAAGGAAGTACTAGTAAGAACCAAATTTGTGAGCTCTGCGTGCATGCTGGGAAACAATTCTGGTTTGCAGGGTCAGCCGATGAACATCGTTAAACATTTGTTTAAAAAGAAGCAACTCTCACAACATTGGTATACCGGTATACCAAAAGCATCCAAATGCCTGAGAACAGCAGTACCAGCAGTTTCAAAGAGGTTTTTAGCGTTTTTAGGGCCCCACTCCCGATAGTTTTTGGATGAACCGCTAGAAAATCACGAATCTCTCTGCAAGACGCCTCCGGGTCTTTTTGTGCAGTCTCCATTTGGACTTCTGGCGGCTTCTCTGACGCTGCCTGGCAAATTGGGAACAGCCAACACAATAAGAGAAACACAGAAAACCGCCACCAGGATCCTTTACAAACCACCAGACCACCCTTTTTCACACGATCCAAATGGAAGAACACCGCCCACCGGACACCGACCGGTCTTTGCACACGTGCGGAACCTCCAAGTCCGGATCATATGGTCGGGAACCACAGAGGTCCATCGCGCATAGTCAACAAAAAAAACAAAATCCCCTTAGATTAAAGTCCGAAGTCCGTTGCAAGACCTCCCAAGCCACTTGATCCATTCATGGTGCTTTCAATTGTCAGTTCAAGACTTCGAAACATCGAGACAATAACGGGGCGGTACCACCAGGTTTCAAAGGGGTTCCGGTCACTTCCCACAACCTCCAGGACAACTGCAACTTCTTGATACTCCGTGCAAGACGCCTCCGGGTCTTTCTTCTCCGGAGTCTTGATTTGGACTTCTGGCGGCTTCTCTGACGCCGCCTGAAAAGCAGCAAGTGAAATTGGCACCTGGAACTCCAATTGATGTTTCCTGCTGACAACAAGGTGCCAAGAAACCATCTGTTTAGGCTATAGGCCACAAATGGCTACAAATGGCTATAGATGGCTATAGGGTATAAACAGCATCGATTGGGAGGTCTTGGAAGTGAACTCATACTAGGAGACATGCCAAAAGTGGCTGCACATTCAGTCAAATTTGACACGCTCAACCAGTGAGATCTGCACTTGTTTGGTACTTGAACAATTTCCTTCCATATCTTCTATACCCAAACACTCCATGTCGCTCCATATATGGACCACAATAGAGTGACCCTATAGTGATTGTATAATGCATAAACAACATAATGCATTATGTTTTGCAATATATATTATAGTACTACTACTACTACTACTACTACTACTACTACTACTACTACTACTA